GGGAGGATGTGGGGTTTCTGCACACTGAGTTGTAATCCGTGTTGGAGGCTGCAGTCATTGATCTTCATTACCAGGGGCTTTCAGGACGTAGGCTCGTGCCGTCCGCACGTTGAAGGTGGTTAGTGACCCTTCCCCGAATCCTGACGCCGCGCGCTTCTCCATACAGGCTCCCTTCTCCGGTTACTTGTTCAGAACGCAGACTGCATAGCGTGGCGAAAGGGCACAACCCTAGGAAGAGAGGTCTGGCGACTCACTTCTGAACAGGAGCCAATGAAAAACCACCAGCTTCCTTTCAGACCAGACCTGGGTGTCGGACCCTCTGCCGCTCCCAGCAGAGGCACGGGGAAGAGGCTGGCCAGTTTCTGCCAACCGGTACCCACGCCGCGGGGTCTGGCCTTTCTCAGTGCTGCTGAATGGGATCTACTTCCTTAGTTGTTGTTGAGTGCTGCCGAAGGGATTCAAACGCACCGGGACTGGGTGCAGCAGGGTCCTTCACGAGTGTCCTTGGAGCCCCTTGGGGGGCCAGTTCATCTCATTGATGACTTCATTCTTCAGGGGCTTTCTGCCTCACCAGGCACGGTGTCCTTCTCCAGGGCTTGGGTTCTCCTGACCACACGTCCCCAGTACACGAGATGAAGTTTTGTCAGCCTCCCTTCTAAGGAGCATTCTGGCCGTCATTCTTCCAAGACAGATTGGTCTGTTCTCTTGGCAGTCCGCGGCACCTCAGTATGCTCCCCCCGACACCGTCGTTCAAATGCCTGCGTGCTTCTGTTATCTTCGTAATTATATATCAAGCAGGCCTCTGAGCCCAGACCCCCTCAAGTCCACAAGCCCTGTGCTAGCCCATAAGTCCTCTCTAGACTCACATAGCCGCCTGCCAGGGATGCAGAGTGGTGACCCGGGCATCGGGAAGCTCCCAGACTGGTGGGCGCGAAGTTGGCTCGATGCAGAGTTGGTGGAAACTTTGGTGGGTGGCAGGCTGTCGACAGCTCTCAGGGTTGGGCGGCTCCCACGTGGCCCAGCGGGCAGAAGGCCAGAGGGGCAGACAGGGGTGACCTATGTTCGTCTTGCTCCGAGACAACAGGCTTGTGGCTTCCAGCAGGTGTCCTCAGGCCATGACATGACCGACAGGTTGGACTCCAGGCCTCGCCGGGAG